CTCTGGTCTATAAGTAACCATAGGCACTCTTTTCTACCTTGGAACTATGAAGAAGATTCCTTCTGCTCCACCACACCAGCATTTCTCCTCACCCCAGGACCACCACCCAGTACTGAAACCCAGATCTAAACACAGGCAAAGCAAGAGAATCTTGCCTTAGCACCAGCAAAGAGATTCCTGCAATCCCCCTCTGATCAGCCACTTGATATACCCACTTTCTGTAGGCCAAGAGTTCCAGAAGCAGCCACTACCACCTCAGCCCAGGAGCTGCATTCCTCTCTCACCCAGGGCTGACAGACCTTTCCCATTGACCTTCTAAGTTGTCTTTGGTGTTTGTGTTGGTAAGTCTGGAAACCGCCACAAACTGCCCTGTGATTCAGTCCCCTAAAGCCTGCTCCAGGTTTGCTGGAGCTCAATCTTTGCCTATGCAGCCCACTCTGAACTGTGCTCCTCTCCCAGCCCAGCACCACAGACCTTTCTTGTCGACCTTCCAGGTTGTCTTGGGCTGGAAATTTGTTTCATTCTGTTTTTTTGTGGGTTCTGATGCTCTAGAATTTGTTTAGAGTCATTTTTTACAGGTATTTGGATAGGTTTGGGGAAGAGCTCAAGCAAGTCACTACTTTTACTCCACCATCTTGGCTCTACCCTATGGTAATAATTTACTGTAAGATTTTTGTACTAGCTAAACAACAGGCTAGAAAGATTGAAAACACAAGTTACAAAGAGGAATCTTCATCCTTAGAGAGTTACAAGCCAGAGTGTCCAAGAGGGAGAGAAAAGCAGCAAAATCACTAGGCATTGATTGCAGTGGTTGCATTTGTGATTTCATGGTTCCCCTATTTTATGGAAACAATAATTGATGCTTTCCTAGGGTTTGTAACTCCAATCTATATTTATGAAATTTTAGGGGTTTTTTTTCCCTATTTTAACTCAGCCATGAACTCCAGGTTATAAGTTCCCATTATTTTATTTTATTTTTACTTTATTATTATTATTTTTTGGAGGTGTGGAAAAGCATGGCTGGCAAGTTTTTTGGATGGGTGTTTTAGTGAACTCCAAGCCCAGTACAAGAAGTAGATGACAAAGAGAAGTCAAGGCACCTCCTAAGCCCCAACCAGGAGGGGAAGCCCCCTAATTCCAGATGGAGAGTCCTCAAAGCCCATTCCAAGCCCCAGCTTCTCCAGGGAGAGATTGTTAGGAAAAACTAACCCTACTTCCAAACTATTTGGACCTTGGGGGCCAGAAGCAGGTATGTTGGCCCTAAGAGGGAAGACTGTCTTGTCTGTGTAGTCTAAGTGAAAGGGAGAAGGACCCTTGGGACTAGGGTCCTTTCCCCTCTCTGGGTTGCAAGCTGTGGGGGGCCCTGCCTGCATCCTAGAGAAGCCTCCTGCTGAAAGGATGGGGTCTCTTCTCTGGCCAGGGTGGCTCATGAAGCCAGCATGCCCACCAGCCAGTCCCATGCCAGGGACTTCCAGGACACCCAGCTTGTTCTGGGATTGCTTGACTTGTGGGACTTTGTCTCCTGGGTTACATTTTTATTAAATTGAGAGAAGTAAAAAGCACATCTTGGGGTAGGATAAGAAGGACCAACAGGTGAGGGAAGGAATGAATGAGGGGGTGATGGAGCCATTCTGGGGCAAGCTGGGGACTCAGTTACCATCGCTGGGGCCTCCCACCAACTCTGGAGGAGCTAGATCAGAGCCTGGGATAGGGGGAGGTAAGGGCTCCACCAAAATAGTGGAGAACTTGGTGTGCCCAAAAGCCTCATTCATGTGAATCTCAAAGAAGCATCGAAGGTCAATGATTGACTGGACATCAGCTTTGTCCTCCTTTAATCTATGCTTTTTTTTTCTTTTTACCGTTGATTTCAAAAAACAATTAAACTGTATGTCACTGGGAAAGTCTTCAGAGGTCACACTTCAACAATAAATTTCTGAGTAGGTAAAGGTTTCAGAAAGAAGTTAAAATTCATTTGAAAGAAATTTATTATCAAGGGGCGGAAAAACCTAAGATGCAGGACTTTTTAATATGTAAAAATTGTATTGCTCTTTATATGAGACATAAACCTCCAATTTCAGTCTCAATAAATAGCATTTGGCAAAAAATCATTTGCTAAGTAAGATTACAAGGTTTCAAAGTTTCCCACCATTGCCTGCCTCTACTCATTTCATATCTGTTTTCGGCTTTTATTCCTAGGTTCCCTTGATACTTTTTTTCTCTTATTTTATAGCACTTTTTTCGTATTCCCTTTCTTAGGTTAGCATTTCAAATGAAGTAAAAAAGTCACCTATTTTAAATTTTTTTCAAAAATCCTTCCCATGTTTCTTTGGTTTTTAAAATTTTTCTGTGATATACCTGCTCTATTCTTTCTATTTGTCTCTCTCTCTCTCCTCCTTTCAGTCTCTCTGTCTCTCTGTCTCTGTCTCTCTGTCTCTGTCTGTGTGTGGATCTCTCTGTCTGTCTCTGGTGTGTGTCTGTCTCTTTTTGTCTCTCCCTTCCTTCTTCCCCTTCTCATTCTCTCCAGCCCTTTAAATATCAGCTGCATTCTGGATGTAAGGACTTTGTTTCTTTTTTCCCCCTACTAAACAGAAGTATTTCTAAAATGATTATATGCACACAGACACAGACACAGACACACATATTTGTGTTTAATGGTAGCCATCTCTATGTTAGGGAAGGGGAGAGAAGAAAAAAGGGGAAAAAATGAAAATTACATGATAACTTTATTATATATTTGAGGCAAATAGAAAGTTGTACAGAATAAATTTGCAGTTGCATGTGCAATTCTTTTTTTTCTATTCTACTGTTAAAGAAATGCTTGCTTTATTTCTTAAATTCAGAATAAGATAAATAAAATAAAATTCTGCACTTTTTTCAGTTTTCTATTACAATAAGGATGCAAACATTATTAAGTTTCTGTGTAAAAAATCCTATCACTTAAGCTACTAAAGATGACACACTTTTTGCTATCACATATATTCAGAAATTCCAAAGTATTCTACTTTTCTTTTGAAGTAAAAATTAAATGAAAACAAATTGGGAATTTATTTGTTTTTAGGAAGCATTCCATTAAAGATCTTAAAACACTGATAAGTTTTACTAGTGTTCTGTCCGTTTCAGGGTACACCATGAGCCTTAGGAAATCTAATTCTTTTTGTGCTGTGATTTATGTAAATGAACTTAATATATGCGTACTTCAAAATGTGAGACAAATTTTCTAATTTGATACACATGCATGTCAGCCTTGGAACCTGGAACCTGGAGCAAGATACATTGTATTGAGGAACAATTGGTCATTAGAGTCTAGCTGAGTTCTAGTGCTGAGCCTTCCTAACCCTAGTTCTAAGGACTGGCCGACTCTGTGCTTTCCAACAATACCTGAGGGCTCTCAGGAAGCTGAGGAAGCTAGGTGGCAGAGGAGGCGGAACCCTGGACCTGAAATAAAGAAGACCTGAATTCAAACCCAGCCCCAGACACTTATTACCTGTGTGACTGGGGAAGTCATGTAACCCCTGCCTCAGTTTTCTCATTTATAAAATGGGACTAATAGTAATACCTACCTACCAGCATTGTTGTGAAGAACAAATGAGGTAACATTTGTAAAGTGTTTTGCCAAACTTAAAGTTCTATCTAAATGCTATGTAAAGTTCTATATAAATAAAGTTCTATATAAATATTTGTATGAAAGTGAAAAAAAAAAGAGTGGGCCTGGGAAGTTTTGAAATTTTTAGTTTTCATACTTTCTTTCTAAAGGACTTTTGCAGCGAAGTTGTGTCTATTTCAGTATAGTGGTATAAACCTTTTTATCAAAAGTAATGAGGACATGAGGATTGTTGAGCTCACATCCATTAAGACAATCTTTCTGCTACCTAGGCAGGCAGACCACTCTGCTTATGGTCTTCTCTGCCATTAGCAAGTACAGTGCTAATTATGTATCACAGAGACCATAAAATCATGAAGCATGCAAAATAGGAAATTGCCCATAGCTCCAGTGAAGGGCACAGTCAGGTTACTCAAAGGGCATGGTCTCCAGTCCTCTTACTGATGCTGCTAGAACTGCTCCATCCAAATCTATTACACTCTACTCTACAGGGCTTTATCCCTTTCCAGTGAAGTTGATTTGCAGAGTGGTATCCAATAAAGGGTTTGATCCACATCTTATTCTACTTGAACAACCAAAATGTTTCTCTCCTGTTCATAGAAATATATTGTCGCTCTCCAGCCCTTCCTCTCTCTTATCATTCTTGAGAAGGAGTAATATAAGGAAATCCAACTGCTAGATCCAGGGGCAGCTAGGATAGAGAACCAGCCCTGCAGTCAAGAGGGCCTGAGCTCAAATTTGGTCTCAGACCAGACACTTGACACTTATTAGCCACATGACTTGGGCAAGTCACTTAATCCCATTGCCTAGCAAAAACAAAAACAAACAAACAAACAAAAACTAGCTCCTAGATCCCACCCAGATCTCCTGTTCCCTACAGTGTACCAGGAAGGATCCCTAGGTCTTACAATCATCCCTGATCACTCTAAGTAACCCCCAGGCCCTTCCATATATTCTACCACTGAACTTTCATATATGGACTTTATCTCCCAATTAGAAAGGGAGCTCTGCAATAGCAGGAAATGTCTCAAATTTATATTAATGCTTACAGCACTTAGTAAAGTACTTGGCATATAAATGCTTTTTCATTCCATTCTGCTCCAAGAAAATTGGATTTGTCTATCATGACCACTTACCTCTGGCTTGGTAACTCTGGGGAATGACCTTTTCATTGTCAACAGAATTTTGAAAGCAGTCCACACTGGATTAGTCTCTAACTTAGGGAAACAGTAGGTTTGAGGGAGGTGTGTCAGGAATCAAGTAGTGGTTTCAATAGCTTCAGAGTGAGAAAAACATTTGCAAGTGGAAGTCCTCCAGAGTAGCATTGATATGTTATGGTACAGACAGTGCTTATATACATACTGGGCTAGACTATGACATAATCGTTTTTGGGTCACGAGTTACTGTTCCCATGGATCCCTCAGGAACAATGTTATCCCAAGTCTTGGGAGTCATAATTACTCTATGGGGTACTGAACCAGAGTTCTGTGATGGGAACAGGAGTACAGAACAAGGAATAGGGATTGTGAGCATGTCAGAAACATGACAGATGCTGGCACTCAGGTCCCTGGCAAATGGGGGGAGTGAACACTTGATGCAATATACTTTGCCAGAAGGTGAGATCATCCAGAGGGCAAAGGATTATTGTTATGTTAAGCTTAGGGCACAGCGGGCTTGATGGGCCTTAGCTCTAGGAAATAGGGTATCTCCAAAATATTTTGACATTTCCCAATTTTGGCCAAAGGAAAGGGGTATGAAAGAACTTCTACTCTCATGGCCCATAAAGGAGAGACAGTTATAAACCAAGATGCCATGTGATGTAGCTTATGGGATTAGGTCCTCAAGGGAACATAGGAACTTTGTCCTAGGTGTCATTACTAAGCCATTGCTTGAAAAGAGAGGGTAGGCAAGAATGTCACAGTGAGAAAATGCCAAAACACCTATGAATCAGGACCTTGGTGACTGGGCACATAACAAAAGGTGAGAGGAAAAAAAAACCTAAGACAGTAGACTCACCCTTGTCCAGAAACTTGGGATAGCTGTCTCACCTGGATGTTAGTTACTTCTGAGTCTGTCCACTCAGGATCAGGGGCTTTCCTCAGTTGATCCAGTTTCCCAGGCACAAAAGGGTAGGTTTAAACAGTACAATATTTTTTCTCACAATTCCCATAATTGTATAATTGCATTAAATCAGGTACAGATCAAGTTGCCAAGAAGGCTCACAATGGACTAGTTCCGAGAAGGGAGATTTACACGTCACCAAGGTAACCAAGAAAACTTAAACATTAACATCCTTATTCTCAGGACTTTAAAAGGTGCTTCTCTGGTTCACAATCTAGAGGTTCCTAGAAATTCTGACTTAATGTAGCTTAGTATAATCATTTAAATTTTTCCCCACTTTTGAAACTTCAGAGAATTTCAGTTTATATATCATTTGCTGTTTCTATACTTCCCTAAATGCTATACTTGATATGAGTCTTTCAAAAAACTTATGAGTCTAACTAAAAATGAACTCTTCTGCTCTTTAAGATTATCAGACAGATACTTTTTTAAAATGGGGAAATTAAACAGACCAGAAGCTTATGCAGATACAAATTTACCAGATGCATGCAAAACAAACAAACGAACACAACAAAGGCATGCAATTAAGCCAATTAACTTGAATGAAAAACAAAAAGGCCTTACCAGAGTGATCCAGGATGAACTGGTTCAAGAAGGGGGCCTGGAGTTTTTCTTCAAAAAGAAATGAGAGCTCAATCAAGGGTGAGCTGATAATGGAGCAGGAGTGATACAGGTAGTGCTTATATACAGCCTGGGCTGGACTATGACATAATCATTTTGAGGTCTTGAGTTACTATTTTCATGGGTCCTGTGGGAACAGTATTGTCCCAAGTCTTGGGAGTTGTGATTACTCTATGGGGTATAGAACCAGAGTTCTATGATGGAAACAGGAGTACAATGCAAGGAACAGGATTGTGAGCTTGTCAGAGATGTGAGGGATGTTGGCACTGAGGCCCCTGGAAATAGAGGGAGTGAACATTTGGTGCAATACATTTTGCCGAGGGTGAGATCATCCAGAGGGCAAAGGATTATTGTTATGTCAAGCTCAGGGCACAGCCTGCTTGCTAGGCCTTAGTTCTGGGGAAACAAGGTATCTCCATAATATTTTGACACATTCAATATAGTTCAGATTCCAAATACTCTTGGTAGTAGAAGCCTTCATAAAGAGAAAGAAACATGTCTGTCTCCTCCTCTGCTCACAGGAATCTTTCCTTTTTGCTCATCTCCAAATTCAATCCAACATCGGTCCAGATGTGTATCTCTATGGTCATTTGCCTTCATCATATTGTCACCAGTCCAAGTTAAAGTGAGGAATTCTTCCATTTTCTTGGGGAACAATCCTGTTGTACTTGCCCACTGGTGACATGGTTTCTAGGTTCTTGAAGTTAGCATAGTAGAAAAGATGTTGACTTCATACACAGATGATCTGTTTTCAAATCTTCCTGTCTTCCTTACTTCGTAGTTTGAACTTCAACTCCCTGGACCTTAGTTTCTTAATCTAACAATGACAATTCTCAAATAAAATTACTTCTAATACCTGATTCACAATCCTTTGACTACCTTAACCCCCTTCTGGTTTATTTGGCATAGTGACACTCCTGGGAGATAGTTCCATCCTTGAGCTTTCAATGAATACTACTGCATTACAACTTCCAATCCATTCTGGTTTCTCCTCTATTCCTTGGTTTTAAATGCTTACAAGATAGATAGAAAGAGAGAGAGAGAGAGAGAGAAGAGAGAGAGAGAGAGAGAGAGAGAGAGAGAGAGAGAGAGAGAGAGAGAGAGAGAAAGAGAGAGAGATGATAGACAAAAGAAGAAATGAATAAATAAATCACTAAATAAAACAAACAAACAAATAAATAAATAAAGGATGTAGCTATTCAATCCTAATGGACATGGCAGAAGTTAGGAAAGCTATTTCTAAATGTCATTGAGGTAATTTCTGAACAATATCTGGTGAGTCAGAACTGAAATTGAACTGGGCTTTCCTTTCCCCTCCGCTGTTTTTTTTTCTCCTCATTCTTGAATTGCCGTGTTGAACTTCCGTCAAGTTTAATCATTTAGCTACCATATAACATTAAATCTCTGAATTGATATTGCCAGTGGTGGTGGGGAGCTGAGAAGGCTTCACTATAGTTCCAGACTGTCCCCAGCAGCCTGGATAGACCAGTGTAGTTCCTTTGCTTCAGTGTTGGTATTTGAAATAAAAGCAGGTTGACAGGACAAATTCATGCCCCTATTGACTATGAGAACAACAAAAGGAAAATAACCTGGGGCTATAAATATTATACGTTCTGAGACACTACTCACATCCCACTCACTTAGCTTAGGGTATGCCATCCTACATGAATCCAGAGTGAAATGGCTTTGTAGAACATTGATTTCTCCTCTATTGGGTCTGAGAAAAGACTGCACTCCTTAGAAACTGTGCTCATTTTAATCAGGGGCTTTTTTTTCATTGTTGTTTCAGTTATGTCTGACTCTTCATGACCTGATTTAGAATTTTCTTGACAAAGGTCCTGGAGTGGTTTGCTGTTTCTTTCTCCAGCACATTGAGAGATGAAGAATTGAGGCAGACAAGGTTAAGTAACTTGCCCAGGATCACACAGCTAAAGTGTCTGAGGCCTGATTTGGACTCAGGAAAATGAGTCTTCCTGACTCCAGTACACACCAAGTTGCTCAGACAACAGGGGCTTACTGTCTTTCTATTTATAATGTGAATTTTGTAGCTACTGAGTTACTGTACACATAGTGAACGACTATCTACTTATTTATAATTAATGCAGAGAGAGGCAGCATGACATAGTAGATTGAGGTTTGGTCTTGGAGTCAGAATTTTAACTTGGGATCTTGGGATCTTCTCCCACCTCTGACACTTAATATAATTCTGGAAAGTCACATACACTTTCTGCACCTAGCTCTCAAGGATTATAAATGACAGACAAGTTGTCAGCTGCCATTAGTGAAGTGAGTTCCCATACCATGAGATAACCCACAACAATAAAATGACAGGTAGGTGTAGTCCAGGAGTGTATGGGGTGTTCCAGGAGGACTAGCATCTCTTATGTGAGAGCTTAACATGCCCTATTTAGGGCTGCTCATTTACCTTAGGTTTCCACCTGCCACCCAAATTTCACCTATGGCTCCAAGAAGTTGTAGCATGCATAGCAGCCACACCTGGGTAAAACTGTCTTGGCAGACAGGCTAACTAGGTTGATGATAATCGACAATCCTCATTAGCGAGTTAGGGGTATGTCTACCTCAAGCATGTGAAGACTCCTCACTCCTAAGCCCCAGCCCTGCAGAACAGGCAGATGCAGACAATTTGTTCCAACAGACATGAAGGCAGCTGAAGCAATTGCTGTGGAAGGCTTAGAGCATGGTCAGGTATTGAAGAAATCAAAGTGCATTCTACACTATTGCCAGTCTATCTTTCATCCTGACAATGGACTTTGATGACTCTGGAAGAGAGAGTGAGGCTGATGACTTTGTGCAACTCTGACTCACTTAAACTCAATTCACCCATGAATCAAGAAATGCCCCCCCCCCATGTCATTAGTCCTTTTCAAAAATGAAGGACAAACAAAACCAGGTACAATTAATCCCAGCCTCAACCAGTTGCAATTGTTAAGTAGACATTTCAGTAAATAATATAGTTGGGAAGCAGGCACCACAGTCTTATTCCAATTTGGGTTCCCAGCTTAAAACACAGAAACTCACAAACGAGGTCAAACGTTGATTTGAATTTCAAGGTATTAATTAATTCTAACATGTTTCCTATACAATGCACGTACTTGTCTTATACGTAAAAATGTGGACGTTAAGTGTGCATATGTATTCCATATATATGTATTATATGTGTGTAAGTATATCTATATGTTATATCTAATGTATATTTGTGTATATTGAATGTATATAGGGTATCCCAAAAGTCTTAGTGTAGTCTTAAGGAATTAAAGTTTAAAATTGTACTAATACTTTAGTGACACCCTAATATATGGAGGGGCAGCATTGATTAGTAGAAGGAAGGCTTGCTTTGTAATTGTGAAGCCCTGAATTTTGACACATGCTGGTTCCTGAAAAAAGACCTTTAGCCTCTCAGTACCCTCCCTAGTGCCTCCCCCAGAACTCTCCAATGCTTCAAGTTACACAGTAGTTGTCAATTTGCTTTGTAGAAAGACATGTCCACAGTGGAAGTTTCTTACATTGATAAATTATATGCAGATATATAACATATACATGTATAAATGGATATAGATATATGTATAATATGTGTTCAGAATTTCCAATAAAATCCTCCTTTGATGTCTCAACATAATATGGAAATGATCAAGGGTTTTCAAAGATTCTGCCAATGAATCCAAATATATTCAGGCAGATCGAAACAAAAAAGATTTAAAGTATGGATGCAATAATTGTGTTTGTGGTCTGGGGATCAGCTTGCAACGGGAAAATTTCTAAAATGTTTTTGAGGAATTGTGCTCTAACATGGGCAGCCAATACCTAAGAAAGTACAGATTATTGTTTAACGATCAGGAGAAACTGTTAAAATACAACTACATATGTGTATATAGTTATACATATATGTGTGTGTATATGTTTTTATACACATGCAGTCAGGGTATACTAAAAGACAGCAAAATTTTAAAGTTTAGTAACTATGTATACAAATGTAAGCACACATATATATCTATATATGGTTATATATGTATATATCTGCATCTGATATATGTGCATATATATGTACAAACACATATACACATATATATGAGATGCCAGTTCATTCACCATAAATTTGATCATCAAAAAAATTCACAAAACAAAAAGACACACAGAAATGTGCAAATCTTACAAAACAAAATACATAATTTCTGCTCCCATAGAGTAAACAGCAGTGTAGCAGAATAAATTGCTTACTGATAGTTATTGGAAAAAAGTTTCTTCTCCTAATTTACACTTAACCCCAAGGGATTATCTCCTAGGTGTTTTCTGGCACTTCTTTGGCTGAGTTCCGGAAAGGTTGTGGCACTTTGGGCATTAAATCAGAGTTGACAACATGAAGAAGGGAAAAGTAATAAAAGGTGACCCTTGAAGTGAGGAATCCTTTAGTATCTCACTGACCTTTGCAAAGGAGCTTGTCAGAGGTACAGAACTAGAGGATTAGAGGGAAATATTACCAAGCAGAGAAACACTGACTGTCTTGGTGCTGACGGTTAGTGGACTTATTGAAAGCATTTTATTAAATGGTTTTGAGATTGGGGAAAGCCATTCTACTGAGTTAAATGGACATATACTGAGTATAAAAGAGGTTGGAGGCATTATTGTTTATAGGAAAGGGGGAAGGGATTAAGCATTTATATAGTGTATTCTGTGCCAGGCAATGTGTTAAGTGCTTTACAAATATTATCTGAGTGATATGGATCATAATTAATGAAGGACAGTATTTCACTTTGAGCAGACATGTAATTTATTTATCTTTTTTTTCAGGAATTTTGGAAATGTCAGTGATAATTTTCTGTGATTACCAAGAAAAACAAAGACACTTATAAGCTGAGAGAAGAATGCTGAGCAGCAGCAATGAGTCCCAGCCTGCAGCAATGCAGCTCTGCTATGAGAACATCAGTGGATCCTGCATTAAAACCTCCTACTCCCCAGGACCCCGAATCATCCTCTACTTGGCATTTGGCTTTGGGGCTCTACTGGCTGTCTTGGGAAACCTCCTGGTCATGATTTCAATCCTTCACTTCAAGCAGCTGCACTCTCCAGCCAATTTTCTTATTGCCTCCTTGGCTTGTGCCGATTTTTTGGTGGGAGCCACTGTGATGCCCTTTAGCATGGTGAGGTCAGTGGAGAGTTGCTGGTATTTTGGGGAAAGTTATTGTAAATTCCACACTTGTTTTGATGCATCATTTTGTTATTCTTCCATTTTTCACTTGTGCTTCATCTCCATTGATAGATACATTGCTGTCACTGACCCTCTGGTCTATCCAACTAAATTCACTCTGTTGGTTTCAGGAATATGCATTGTGTTCTCCTGGCTCCTTGCCATTACATTTAGTTTTTCACTTTTTTACACAGGTGCTAATGATGATGGGCTGGAGGAATTAGTAAGGGCCCTCACCTGTGTGGGAGGTTGTCAGATGGCTATGAATCAAACCTGGGTACTGATAGACTTTCTGTTGTTCTTCACTCCCACTCTGGTCATGGTCATTCTTTATTGTAAGATTTTTCTAGTAGCTAAACAACAGGCTAGAAAGATTGAAAGTATGAACAGCAAAGCTGAGTCATCCTCAGAGAGTTACAAAGCCAGAGTGTCCAAGAGGGAGAGAAAAGCAGCCAAAACACTGGGCATTGCTGTGATAGCATTTGTGATTTCATGGTTCCCGTATTTTATTGAAACAATAATTGATGCATTCCTTGGGTTCATCACTCCAACCTATATTTATGAAATTTTAATTTGGTTTGCCTATTTTAACTCAGCCATAAACCCTCTGATTTATGCTTTTTTTTACCCTTGGTTTAGAAGAGCAATTAAAGTGATTGTCACTGGGAAAGTCGTCAGTGGTCACTCTTCAACAATAGATTTGTTTTCTGAACAAGTTAAGGTTTTAAACTGAAGAAGTTAAAATATGGAACAAAGTTATAAAAGGTACCGGTGAATTATTACGACCTGAAAGTATGCTCTCTTCATTCTGTCCGAATCCCTATTTCAGGGTTGATGTTTAATAAAATGTACTTACCAGGTCAAATTGCATGTACATAGTGTGTTTTACCAGCTGTCTTTAATGTTGCTCTCCTGTTTCTGTTTTTTCTCATTTGACATTCGTTTTTGGTCATCATTCCTCTCTTGGACCAAGAAGTAAAAGAATTTCTTTCTTCTCTAATGGATAGCTTATAATCTTATCTGATCCCCTCCTTTATTAGCCTTTCATTTGCTGTAGATAAGGCACCCATTTTGCCTATTCTGATTCCTTTCAAGAAAATCTCTGACATCTTCCTTATAAAAAGTTTTTATTTATTTTTCAAATATAATAAATCTGAATAACTTTTCATTCTGTAGTTAACATTTGTATTTATTTAAATCAGTATCCCTGAAAAGTTTTCAGCTCTGTTCTGAATTATAGAATTTTGTTGTTGTTTTCTTTCTTTGCCTTATCTTTCTTTCTTTGTTTTTTAAGAAAATGAAGTAAGAGATCAATCCCATGTATAGCCAATAATGAAGCTGAGCCTCCCTGTTAAATGAGTTAATACAATAACAATGGTTTTCTGCCCCCAAAGTCTTTGGTTTTCTTTATTTCCTTTATATTCTAATCAATGAGAGAACTACCTAAAGTTACCTTAGCCCTACATAAATGTTTTTTTGGAATGTAAGTGCGTTTTATCATTGTGTTTCTTATACCATTGCTTCTGTAATATTAATAATAATAATAATAATAATAATAATAATAATAATAATAATCACAAGCATTTATACAGTAAACACACCAGGCACTGTGCTAAGTGTTTTACAAATGTTTTCTCATTTGTTTCTTTTTTCCCTTTTTTCACCCTAAATTTTGTTTATTAAACATTTCAGTTTACAAATTAATGTGTACCAATTAGCAATATCGATGTAGTTGGAGAATATTGTGTTTTCTCCAAGCAGCACAATGAGATCCCCCAATGGTATGCTGGAATTTGCTACCTTTTCCAAGACCTGGGCTCTTCTGGCCAGCTGAGGTTAGCCTGCACATCCCTCTGCGTTTGTGCACTGGCTTGGTGATCCATTGAGTGTTGGGGTTGGGTCTGGTTTATTGCAAAGGGTCACTGACAATAACCTCAAAGAATTTGGAGGTTATATCTTCACCTACCCAGTAGAAATTCAAGACTCTTAGGGTCCCACAATGGCAGGCAGTATGCTCTTCTGCTACAGACTGAAGGATCCTGACAAACTTCAGCTGATTGACATCATGATGCACAGGTTTACCTTAGGTTGCACCCTTGGGAGGTGGATGCTTTTGCCCACCATGATGAACACAAATATGGTAGATGACAAAACCTTGCTTGGCCTTGTCCCCCAGTCTGCAAGCTTTGTTGAGTCTGGTGGGCTGGGCAGCTCAGTGTAGGGCAGACAGCTGGCAGTACTGCCAGCTGCACACACATAGGAGGGACCACAGGAAATCAGACTGCTTCTTCCTCCATAGCTGCTGGATGTACTTGCAGACCCCCATCCTGGCTCATGCTTAGCCAGCCTGATGGCTGCCACCAACTGGAAAAGAAAAGCCCTTTTCATTTGTTTTCCACAAGGACCCTGGGGAGTAGGTACTATTATTATCCCCATTTTATTGATGAAAAGGAGGCAAACAGAAGTGAAGTGACTTGCCTAGGATGACAAGTGTCTGAGGCTGGATTTGAAGTTAGGTCTTCCTGACTTAAGGCCTATAATTGATCCACTACACCATTGCCTCATTAGCAACAATATACTTCAATACCATAACATTCCCAGTGCAGAAGTCACAGCAGAATCTGTTATGTTTTTACAACTATTTGCTTATTCCGTTAATATGAGGCTGCTTTAATCAATTAAAACAGTCATAAAGTTAATATGGGATAACATTGATTTTAGGTTGTTGCTCAATTGTGTCCAACTCTTCTTGATCCATTTAAGGTTTTCTTGGCAAAGATGCTGGAATGGTCTGCCATTTCCTTCCCCACCTCATTTCACAGATAAGGAACTAAGGCAAACAGTGTTAAGTGACTTGACCAAGTTCATCCAGCTAGTTAAGTATCTGAGGCCAGATTTAAACTCATAAAGATGAATCTTCCTGTATCCAGGTCCAGCACTCTATTCCCTGTTACACTTAGCTGCTCCAATATTAGGTTGTAATTACAATTACACATACACATATATATGTGTATATATGTATATGCATATGCACACATGTATAATGCTATTGCCTACTACATGCTATCAAATATGTTGCAACTATGTATGTCATATTTTTTGTTACTGCTTGCTGTATAGCCATCAATTCCATGGAATGTAGTTTCCTTTCTCCTTGAGTAAAAAGGATATTTTAAAAGAGATGGTGGATGTATTTATTTTAAATCTTTAGGAACTAAATTAGACATGTATGTGAGACATATGTTGAAATGTTTTAATTTTTTTTTGATTTCAGTGCATGGAAGACCTGTTAGAAAACATGATTCTCTTTGTGTTCTGATTTGTGAATTGAATATTAAAATATGAGTCGAGCTGTGTCTTCCTCATAACTTAATTCTTTGACTCATATCGGTCTTGGATCCCCCTGGTGGGAACCAAATCCTCCAGCTTATCATCCTGGGCTTCCACTAGAGCACAGATTCTTTATAGAGAGTGCCTTGCCTATGGGTCAAAGGAAATTGAAAAGTTTCTCAACCATTGGTGTTGGTTTAGTAATCCATTGGGTATAGTTTAGTAAGTGGTCAGCGGATGCCTTCTGTTTTCTTTGTACTTCCTTGGTTATATACAAAGGGTATGGGCTGGTTGTATACCCCAGTTGAAATATATGGTGGCTATAGAAGAATTTTACACATTAGATTTTTCACAACACATCTGTCACTGTCATTAGCCTTAAAAGAGATAATCTAGTTCAGTGCTATTATGGTGGGCAATGGGCCCATCTGTGAGAAGTGTCATTCCCTGTAGTCTCCAGCTTCTACTGAGAAACCTGAGATGATCCACACTTTTGTTAGACAGAAAGCCCAACATGCTTATACAGATTGTTCTCTCTCTAAGGCAGGTCTAGGGGAAATGAAGTAAAACAAAGACATTAAAATGGAATATGGAACATCACAGATTTAGTGCTGGAAAGGACCTCAGAGGCCACCAAACCTAAGCCCCTCATTTTACAGATGAGGAAAATGAAGTGTTTACTTCCTGGGTCATAAAGTCATTATGTTGCTCCCCAGTCCTTCCCCCATCTTGGCTTTCTTGGGCCAGAAGTAATATAGGGAACCAGAGTTTTTTGAAAGTACCTTATTGTGGCCACATATCTGTAGCTGGTAGCCTGTTTCTGAAGTTCCAACATTCCCTGGTAATACAAGATTCATATTCTGTAACATGCATGTGTGTATGCACACATGTATATACATGTATATATATGTATGTATATATGTGTGGGTAAGTATATACATGTGTGTGAAGGTCATATAAAAATGAAAGACATCTATATTAAAAGAAACAGAGACTAAGAAGCTGTTGATACTCAGAGCAGGGGTGTGACATTGGACTGGAAGATGACAAGGAAAGAAGAAAAACTTAGAGCTGGTGGGGGCATGGTGATTCATTGTCAAAGGGCTCTAAGCTGTCTATGAACCCAAGTCACATTCAGGGCACTATAGCAGTAGGATGGGGAGATAAGGGTGATAAGATAGATGGAGTTATTGAGCATGGAGAAGAAAGACCTAGGGATGTATGGTAATAGACTTTCAAGTATTAGAAGAGCTGGCATGTGCAAGAGGAATTAAGCTTGTTTTGATTGACTCCAGAGGGAAGAAGGACTCAGTGGAAGTTGCAGAGAGATAGAATTTAACTTGAAGTGAAGAAAAATTTCCTGACAAAATTGAAAGTGTCTTGTTTTATTGTCACCTTGTCTGAGATCATTATTGCTACCCACACTTTTTTCTTTTTAGTTCACCTGCAGCAGAAATAATTTTGCTCTAACCCATTAATTTAACTCTGTGTCAATCTTTCTATTTAAATGTGTTTCTTATAAATAACGTATTGTTGGCTTCTGATTCCCAACATAGGGTGTTCTCTCTTCTGTCCTTCTTACCCTATTCACATTCATGCTCATAGTTATTTATTTTCCATCCAAGCTTCTTGTATTTGTTCGTTTCCTTTCCCCTTGCTCATCTTTTATAAAAAGAGAGAAGTGATAAAAAGTGTACTCAACTCTACTCATCTGCCAAATTGGGTTCCAGGAGGAACACCTACTAATTTAAGTGGCCCTAAACCTGTCCATAACCAGAAAAAATGGCACTCTCTCATCTCAGAGTAAAAGGTCTTTCCTTCCTTATCAACAGCTGCATCTTTATCTCCTGACTTACAAGATCAACTGTCCAGTCATCCAGAGGTTGAGTCTGTGAAAAATCAAGCACACTTGAGGAAGGGGTCTCAGGTACAGTGTATCCTCTGATCCACTTTTTAGGAGAACTTACCTGTTTAAAATGACCCTTTTTTGGACAGTTCTAGCTGCCCTTCTCCAGTCTTTCCTTAGCCTTCCCCAGTGTAAAGATGCCTTGTTCTCCAGGTTCTTGCCCCATTAGAGGGGTTCCATACATCCTAGAGAAATAGCTCAAATCACCTTGATTGGCAACTTCCTTCCTTGGGGATGATTTATACAACTTTCCAGAAAGGGACTGAGGGAACAAGGAACGATAATGCTGGAAGAATGAGGAAAGTGAAGTTTTACTCTATAATTATTGTGATTTGTATTTCACTGGAAGAAAGGTGATCCCCTAGCTGACTTGGTGATAATTCTGAGTCCCTGGATGGCTGTGTGGGAAAGTCCTTATTTAGTACTCATGGAAGAATGGGTCAGCTTTTCCCTAGAAGCCTCTAAGGGAGCAAATGGTTTGTATTATTCCTCTGACATGCGTCTCTGGTTGGGTATAAAGGTGTATGTGGTT